AGATGGATATGCATTGATTATTCAATTGTTTTTTCCGAGTTCCATATAGCCCGCCTTAAATGGTTATAAAGAAAACTGAAAGTACAACGAGACTTCATTGCATCTGTGATGCTGGTCACTATGATTCCCTGATTCTAAATTTCCAAAGAGTTCATTTGATTTAAAAAAAAAATTTTCTAGGATTCCGAATATCCCGGCACCTATCCTACTAGAAAAACATCTCATTCAATTTCCGCGCAGGTCAATGACCTGAAATATTCATCGGCGTATATTGTCTATACCATTAAAACCACAAATTATTTGATTACATCAGAAAAAAGCTCGTAATTAGCTTATAATTCAGGGCAAAAAAAATGGTGGATTTTCAACATTGCGCCGCTAACTTGACGGGGGTTTTTCAAATTTTTTCCGAATTTGAGCCAAAAGGTCCCATAATGACCTCTCACGGGGAGAGTGAATCTCCACGTTTCAGGTGATTCTGAATCATCTGAGCATAGCTTTTGGGGACATTTTTTTTCATTTTTTCAAGAACAAAGATGGGCAAAGTCCAGGTAATTCGGAGTAACCTCATAAACATATATTAAGAACCTCATAAAGTTTATGGTCCTTCTAATTATAGGGGTCCTAGTACGATGATAATGGGGGTAGCAGTGGGGGCCGCAGATTCAGTGTAGTGGGGATTGTTCCATGAAGAGCGCCCCAAATGGTGAATGTAGAAAATAAGAATCCGGCAAAAAATTCATAAAAATTATTTTACTTTTTTATGCAACCAATTGCTTATGAAATCTCTTTCCATACCCGAATTACATAAGAATATTCAATCCAAACATCCCGAATTTTCTTGAAAAAGTTGAATTTCTATTAAAATAGTTGAATTTTTCAATTTTTTCGAAAAAAAATCAAGCCGGTCGTGTGTTTTCTAATTGACATTTGTTGACAGGAAAAAGTCAATGTATGTCCATGTTCCTTATTTGACTGAAATTTCTCATATGGTTTTATCATAATGAAAAAGATCTGAATTTTTTTTACAATAAAAAAAAAATTTGTTAATTAAGTATGGCTATAATCAGCTGATTCCATCGGAAATGACTTAAAATTGCGAAAAAAGTTTAAAAACGGACATTTCCTGCTCTAGATACGGCGTAGAAGAATGGGTCGGTGCCAATAGCAACAGCCATCCCAGATGAAATTTGGAAGAAAGGGAGTTTTATATTCATTCGAAAGCGTCATCTCTTTCGGTTAATCACTACGTAAATACAACAATCATAATATATTTGTATTGAAATTGAAATCAGATCCAAACAGTGACTCAATTAACATAAAGAGAAAAAAGTTTTACTTTTCCGGAACGTGTCCCTGATTTTCTAGAGTTTATTCCCAATTATAAGGATTCGCGATTGTGGAATTCAGTGACTGCAAAATTTTCGAATTCAATGATTTTCTGACCAATTTTTCGGAACTGTTACGTCAAAAATGATCCAAATACGACGTAAACTTGTTTGAAATTACCCGATGAAGTAATTTTCCAATTTCACCCAAGAAAAATTGACAAATATCATTTGTCCCCACAAATTTGATTATTGACTTTAGTTTCCCAAAAGATTTGATTACTAGATAAGAACCCCTGGACAAGGAAAATAAAATAAATCAAAAACTGAGTTTAGCTTAAATCGACTCTGTCGAGTCTATATTTAAAATATAAAAACACTGAAAATATTAATACATATTTGGACTTACAAGTGATGATCTCAGCTAATCCCAAAGGTTATTAATTCACTTTTCAGCTTAACCGGTTGCCGCTGATTTTAATCTTGATTTTATCTCAATCAATAACTAAATTTAACACTTTAATAATATTTGAACGAAACTTGGAAAAATTCCTCGTAAGAGAATTTCCAAAATTAAAATAAAATAAAATAAAATAAACCACAAACGATTTACTCAAAAACTAGTCACGAAAGACTATTGAAAACTATAGCCATGAAAGACTATTTGAAAAATTATAGCCACGAAAGACTATTTGAGATAAGCCTTGAAAGACTTGGAAACTTGAAGAGTTACGGTGGAAGTGAGGAGCAAAACGACGCGCAAGTAGTTTTGTTTCCTCAGCCTGAGGGTGTGTCCTCAGATGCAAGGAGGGAAAATTCGGGGGACCAATGGCCCTTGACCTTGGCCCAGAATTTCCACTCCTGACACTCCCGGTCCCAATGCTTCAGGGTAAACTCCGACCCCTCCACATCGAGATGTTGGGGTGTGGGCGGACTTTTCCACGCCCAACTGCCAATGAGATTTGTTTCAGGAGGTCCCATTTTCTCACCATTTTCAAACCATTCACTAGGCTTAAACAATACGATTATTTATTTAATATTTCCCATTATTTTTAACTAAAGGAATTTCTTTGCGCAAATTATCATAATAAATTCATAATCAATTAAATTTAATTAAAAATAAGAAAATTAACTTATCTAATGAACTCTAAATTGTTATGTCATTCTCTTGAGTTTTTAATTGAAAATTGAATCATTTGAGTTCGAAATATTCTGAATTCGAACTCAATGATGAAAAAGAAAATTATTCATGTAATCATTTTATCAGTTACTATTTCATCATGAAAGAAATAATTTTAGTTCAAAAAGAATGAAATCAATTTGAGATTTCAGAAGTTGTATGAATAATTATGATGAAAGATCAGAAATTTCATTTTAAAGAAAATCAATTGAATTGAAAAGAAATTACTTTGAAAAGTAATTCTATCAAGCTGCGATAATATAAAACCATCGGTTGAAATTGTCGTAGCGATGAAATTTTTACTTCAAAATAATCGTCAAAAAATTTCCAACAATTAGAGCTACATTTTACAAATGAAAAATAATTTTTTTTTTTAACAACTTCGAAAATTGTCAAAATGATTCATTATTTCCGGCTTAAAATGAGAACTCAAATATCCCCTCGCCAAATTTTTCAAGAAGGAAACTCTTGTTTAAACTTTATGGGGGTCCGAGAGGAGAAACTCAAATTTCGGTTTATTGGGGTCCGAGAAGAGAAACTCAACAGACCCCACTTCCCGATAAGATGGGAAAATTCCACATCATGAAGATGTATTACCCCCCGGACACGTCACTGAACCGTCAGTGAACAATGGACAAAGAGAGAGAAATACTGGGGCGTGCACTTGAAGCACTACGGTGCGACAAGAGCCTGGCCCATGTCTTGAATTTTACGACCGTATTTTCGACGAAAATTTCCTTGAAAATTTGCTTTCCTGATAATTTATTATCTGCAGCTGGTCCTTGGCTTTCAAAAATAAATGAATTTACGCGTGAGAAAGAATTTTATCTTTAAACGGTTTTTGTTTCCCCAAAATATTATTTATCTAAGTTTTCCAGAAATATTCAATTAAACGATTTTTCGACGGATGTCACAGAACATTATCCATAATTCCCAGTGACGTAGACCTTCATTTTTAAGGACATCGTCATTAATTTCCAGAGTATTGTCACTGATTTCCAGGGACTCATCTCGAATTTTCAGGTTAATGACACCGGATTTCAGAGACCCATCTCTAATTCTTAGGAATCTATCACCAAGTACTGACAAAAATCACTAATGAGCAGGATCATTCTAATTAGTGCCCAGTATCACCCATAATCGGTGACAGATTCATGAAAATTGGTAATATGTCCCTGACAATCAATACTTTTGTTGCTATGCGAACTTTCAAATATCAATAATGAACGATGCCGTGATAAATTGTCTATATGAGTGACAATTTCTAATTAATTTTTTTTTCAGGATTTTCAGGATTGACAGGATTACTCTTGAAAAACCGAATGCTTACCCACTTCATTCCTCGGATACATGAAATGATTGAGAAAGAAGAACTTCTCCCTGACGTTTTAACAATAAAAATTTTATTAACCAATAATTATTTGTTCTTTTACACTCGACGCGGCCTGGGTCAGAGTCTGTCGAGGCTCATGACTGTCAATAATAACCCGGTGGACGCCAGTTAATTTAAATAAAATTAACAAATACGACTAGTAATTGACTGAACTCTTACGCAGAAGGACGTTTTGAAAGACCCAGGATGGGAGAAAATAAATTTCCAAGAGAGAAGGAACTGGACAGAATATACAAGTTTATTTTACTTATGAATTACTGTCAAAAACCGACTCTCCGTTGACTCACAATAATCGACAAATGATTGACAAACATTGACAAATATTAAACAATGTTATGTTGACAATAAATGAATAAACTGGTTATTCCACAAGAATCCCTGCTATGAGGTTACGTGAGGTGCAAGAACCGCCACGAGAGTGAGGCCCAACGTGCGTGCTCGACACTTGATGAAGCACGCCGGAAAATCAATAGTTTTCACGCCTGCGCGGACGACTGCCCCTCGTACGAAACTGCCAGCTCATATACATTTGATTTTCTTGACTCCTTGGCAGTTACATATTATTATAATAATTAATGGTGTCTGACATTGACATCAAATTCAAAACTGACTGTGACAGGATATAAGTTCGATTTTCCTCAGAAAGAACATACTCTTACGATGCAATAAACGATGATAACTATATTTTCTTAATTCAGTATCAACTGATTGTTTCAAACAAAACCAATGAGTGGTTTCATCTTCAAGTCCGGTGGGTTGGCGCAGTGGGTAAGTGCGTGGCCTCACATGCGAAAGGTTTCGAGTTCAAAACCCGGCCGGTAGAATGGGTGAGATCTAACCGTCTAAAGTCTTGATCATCATCGCAGGATGCTCTAACCGGGGCGAAGCGATGTAAAATAACGATAAAAAAACGATCATCTATAATCATCCATTCTAAAGTTTCATCTATTCATTTTTACAAATTCTCTGCAAATTGATTTTCCATCATTCATAAAATTTCTGCTTCCTGAAAATTATTGATTCATAATTATAGATTACCATCTCCGTTTTGTCTTTCGAAAATCCATTATCTAATCTACAACATCCTTTTTTATTCCAGAGAAATATCGAGTTTATGCCAGTATTTCCTTTGCATTGTTACTGTTGGGTATTGGAATACCTCTTTGGTGGCATACGACGGCAGTTCTTCGAGTGGCTCTTCCGTATTCAGGAATCGCAGACTTGTCCAACCGCGACATAAAAATCCTTTGCAAAATTACCATTGCGTCAATTTCAAAGAGCCATGCCGAATTACTCGCAGAGGAAATTTCACGGAAATTTGAAAATTGCGGTGAGTTCATATCCAATAGAGACGTGACACCAATTCATGAATCTATGCTTTTTGGCGCGTCAAATAAAAAAGTCACGGTTAAAGTCCAAAGCAAAGTGTTTATAACCCTGTTAGAAAATTACTCTTGAAATTGCAAGTGAAAAAGCTTGAAATTTTTAACAAAGACAAAGTTACATGAAATTTCTGTATATATCGTCATTCATGAATCAGATAATTTCTTGAATATTCAAGTAATTCTGGATTTCCAGATCTGTACGGTACAGAAAAATGTTGAAAATTATGAACATTCAGGCAGCAACTTTTCTGAATTCTCAATCTATTGAAAATTCAATTCCATCTAATATTTAATTTTCGCAATGAGTTTGAAAATTCAAGCTGTCTAGCTGTCGTTGATATTACATCGCTTGAAAATGAAAAACCCAATTTTCTTGAATTTTCAAGATTATATTGAATTTTTAGTTTTATGAACATTTTAATTTGAAAATAAATTCAAACCTACAACATTGAGAATTCAGATGACCCTATGACTGAAATTTCAAGAAATTTCTAACAGTGAATACACAGAGAAATGTTCAGTAAAAATTACGGAACTCAGTTCGCTCACCGATTACGGAATCGACTCAGAAAATTTAAGAGGCGGTATCGTCATTTTTCACAGGAGATTGAGATGAAAATTACTGAACGCTTTGGAAAAATTCCGAGATTTTAGGTAAAAATTACCTGACAATTCGGTAAAATTCCCTACAACCACGTTTCGCTCCGGAATTAGGAAAAAGATACGTAATTTTTATTGAATATTTCTCTCTGTGTAGAACGAAATCCTGCATATTCTCTTATATGATGAATAAGTGCAATGAAATAGTAGGTTCACAACTACTTTAATATTATCTGAATTCATTCCTATTCTAGTTCTTTTTTTTTCTATTTTTGAAAGTAGGAAGTATCGCATAAGTTTATCATAAAACTACAACTGCTTTCACTATAAGTTCTGATTTTTTCACCTTTAGTTGAATTTGAAATAAATTTTCCTGTATTGTTCCTGTCTATTTTTCAATTGATTAAAATTAACGAACAAAGATTACTATGTACATAAATATTAATGGAATTGACTTAAAAATTATTAGTAAATCAACTTTTTGTTTACTTACTTTCTCAACTTCATTTTAAATTAATTTGTCTTTCAGTGCTGAATTATTTTCTCCCATGTGAAAGAATTTTTATTCATTTCTAATAATGTAACACATTACATTATACATACATTACATTACAACACTATAACAACGATAATTTCTTTTCTTTTCATAGAATTGCACAAAATTTATATCATTAAAAAAGTGATATCAAGTGGCCTTACCAACTCTGCATTTACGCTACATGATCATGAGACAATTGCCAGAGATTTCAACGTTGGAGAGGGAGAGCTTTTATTATTAGAGGCACCGAATTTGGGTGAAGTGCTTGTTGGTACTAATCGAAGTGTCTTTTTTCCTTCGGAAACCAGTAAGATTTTTCTTTAGTCTTAATTTTTTTAAATTTCTTAATTAATTACTCGGTAATACTGAAATTCAGCGACCACACCAGAAATAAATTCTAAATTTTTACAGTATTGGGACTTTGTAGGGTTCATACTAGCTGCGTCCCCATCGCGAACCCTGAGCAATGTTAATAGTCCAGTCAAAGTACATTTTAAGCGGTAACATCAGTTTTAGGAGATGAAATTATACCAAACAATAGCTGAAGGTCCCTTATTAATGTTCTTAAACGTGTACATTTGTTTTTACTGGGTTGATATGTAATTAATTAAAAAGAATGGGAGATTTACGCCACACCCCCTTTAGTCCTACATTTGTCCGATCTGCCCCATTCAATTGAAGAAATATAATTATCACTTTGTACCTGACGAAATTTGCTATCGCATGAAGTCGATAGCTTCTATCGGGAAAGCTATAGTTAATTTATTATGAATTACACAAGTAAATTGAGATCGGTTTATACCAAAGGGTCAGCTGATCACCCCGCCATTAGGGTGATGCCACAATGGATGCATCGCGAAACTTACGCAATATGTGAAACAATTGTTCAACTGTTTTCCGATTATTTTTGACAATTACAAAGCGTAGCGTATGTTCACTTTAATAAATTTCTAAAAAGATTGAAAAAACAATTTAGAGTCCTTCAGTTTTCAAAATGTATTTATTTTCTAAAGTAACTTTTGTAAAAATTAATTAAGTGTACAGTGTGTACATGGGGTATTCTAAGTGAAATAAATAAGGGCAAAACCCTCGCCTAATTCTACATACGCGATATTTTTTTCTCGAAATATATTCATCTCAAAATGACCATTCATTTTTTTAAAGATGTTTTGGTGCATGATCTCAGCAGTTATGATTTTTTTCTTATTTTCGTTTCAAATGACATAACATAAATGTTTTTTTTAATCGGGTGTTTTTAATCGAGTTTTTCATTCCATAACAGGAATTTTTTTTTATGCCTCATTACATGGAAAATTTCGAAAAAAACCTACTAAAATTGATGGTTTTTCAAGTTCGACCCAATTTAAAATTCTCAAAAAAATTGAGTACATTTGAAATGATGAAAAACGAGGAAATACCAAAGGGGAAAATGGGCCTCCAATTATATATCATAGTTTCCATCATTTTCCGTATGGAAGTCGATTTTTAGGTCTTCAGGGACTAAATAATTACATGTGTGACGTTTTGACTTAGATCACCCACCGCATTAATCCTGGGTGATCTAACATGTGACTAGTCCCTGGGACTAGTCACAAATAGAAATAAGTCCTTCCTTCCTAGGGCCGTCGTACCCTATGTTGATGTCGTCTTGTGTCACTCTCGTACAGGGACCCTCTGCTTCGCACTCCTGGATCCTCTGCTTCCAAAGGTCCACTGCTGATGGAGATGCCGCTGGTTTTCTGTACTCCTCTATCCTTGGCTAGCTCGCCGGTGAGCTCACGGGAGATTCGCTCACTTGGAGGGATATGAGGGATGGTCAAGGGGGTTAACCCCTAGTGAACACTCGCGGTTTAAGTGATAAGGATATATATATAT